ATTCATTTATTCGTTTAATCCATGGGCCTACAGAGTGACATGATACACTTCATTTGTCCTTATTTTTGGCATTATCAATGACAAAACACTGGGAAAGGAGTTCTCAAAGTGTGACCTGAGAATTCCCGGGGGTCCCCAACGTCCTTTTGGAAGTCCAAGAAAAAAAACTACTTTAACTCATCTTCCTCACTCCACCGCCAGACTTGCCCTAATTCCCCTATTCCTGACTTCCCCGCCCCAAGTGACCAAAGCCAAAATTGCTGCAGCCATCAATTCTCTTTCTATAACCATCAGGTACTTATATCTAAATTTCTCGGGTCTCACCTTTCCATACTTCCTGCCAGAGGATTAATTCAGGCTATCTTATTTTTCTAGACTAAAACGGCCAACTATTCTCCCTACTTCCAGTTTCATCCCTTCCCAAATCGTCTCCATACTGTGCCCCCTTCTATATACCCAAATCTGATTCTTCACCAAGGGTTTCCCAAACTACACAGATACTGCCCCCAAGATAGATGAGCTCTCCACAAAAATTATTATTGAGGATAATTAAAACAAGTACTTTCTGGATCATGTGACTGAGAACCTAGTATACAGCCCTATAAAATTCAAGTCTGTTTATACTCACGATAACATATTGCCACTTTAAATCAAGATAATTCATGAGAAATAAATAATGGCAGACTTAACATACAACTGATTCTATTCAAGACAATATAATGTTCTTTATTTTGAAGTGTATCTATTTTGGGTGAATAGAGAAATGTGATGAAAGACCCGAGTCTTTCCAAGATACTAGAACTCTCAAGCCAAAATAAAAAATAATTTGTTCCATACCATATTCATATTGCAAGCAATTTGTAAAATATATCATATGTCACATTAATGTCAGGGAACTTGAATTTTAGTAGTTTTGTAGATTTATGAAACATCTGATGTTAAGACCTAGAAACACAAATTCAGTATGTTTATACAACGAAAACATTAAAATAAGCTTCTAGTGACAAACCAAGCTACTTGAAGTCCCCTACACATATCTCGCACTTAGAATCACTGTACTCTTCTTTATCCAACCCTAGAGTACCTCCAATTAAATTTTAATATCTTGCCTCTCCTCCCAGTTCCCTGCTAAAAATGTTGACAGTCACATCTGTGAAATCCTGAAACATCTCCTCTTTAAAAACAAACATAAATGCCTAAACAATATTTAGCTTTTGAAGCAAAGGTTTGGTTTTTATTTGCATATTGAGAGGCAAAGCTCTGGAACTGTGCTGTTCAACAGGACAGCCACGAGGTACATCTGGCTATTTAAAGTAAAACTAAAAATTGAGTTATTCAGTCAGACTAACCAAATGTCAAGCACTCAACAGCCAACTGTGGCTGTGGCTGAAAAGAGTCCCATCATCACAGAATGTTCTCCTGGATATACTGCTCTGTAACTTTTCCCTTTAAGTAAGCTCTAAGAAATCTGCTTGTGACTTCAAACATAAATTGGGCTGATGACTTCCAAATCTTTCTCTAGCCTTTTCCCATTAACCTAATGGAGTATCTTCAGTAACCTGCTTGTTATTTCAACAATGTCAGCTGAAGAGATGGAGGTGGTGGCTGGAAATAATTATGGCAGTGTCAAGAAAATCAGTAAGGTATAATGTAATCAAGAATGGAATAGATTTTCAAGGTAAGGTTAAGCTTGAGTTTGAGAAATCTGAAATAGGTACTGCAAAAATAGTAGCAGAGATTAAAGACAATGTCCACTTCACCCTACCCACCCATCCTAAAAGAATTAAAAACCACTTTGCTGAGTTCTTCAAAAGACATCTTTCCAATCACATCTAAAGATAAAATTCATCACTAGTAATTCACTGCTGATATGAAAGATATATTAAAACCATAGCTTATAATTACTTAGTAAAAATTATAATTTAGCCTGTTTCAATGTTTATTTTGTCAATTAAATCTCTAATTCTTTCAAGATAAGAGTTTTAAAAAAAACAAAACAGGCCAGGTGGGGTGGCTCAGGCCTGGGATCCCAGCACTTCGGGAGGCCAAGGGGGGCAGATCACCTGAGGTCAGGAGTTCCGAGACCAGCCTGACCAACATGGCAAAACCCCATTTCCACTAAAAATACAAAAATTAACCGGGTGTGGTGGTGGATGCCTGTAATCCCAGCTACTCAGGAGGCTGAGGCAGGGAGAATCGCTTGAACCTGGGGGTCGGAGGTTGCAGTAAGCCAAGACTGTGCCATTACATTTCAGCATGGGTGACAGCGAGATTCTGTCTCAAAACAAAACAAAACAAAACCATACAATAATGTACTTAAAGCCAGATTTACAACCACAAAGCAAAACATTACCTCAGATTTCTATTACTTTAAAGCTCTCAGCTTTCTTTACATGTACTATCATAAAAAAGACGTAATACAGTTATTAGCCACAAATAGATTTTCTGCTTTACAGAGCTACCTAATATGTTGTTGGTATTACTTTCAAAGAGAACTTATTTTAAAAATGCAAAACTCCACTTTCTATTTAAATAAAATAGATGCAAAAAAAAACCCCCCAAAAAACCATGACTCCAAAAATTCAGGCAGAAAGCTTCAGAAAACAATGAAAATGAAAGGCATTTCCAAAATGATGTCTGGTATATAATTTATTTATTTAATAAACATTTATTACCGCTATACACTTCCAAAATGAGGTGGACAGTAAATCAAATAAACATAAAGCAATATTTATTAAGTACCTACCATGTGCTAGGCTTTGGCTACATATACAAAAACAGACATGGTCCCTGCCCTCATGGAGCTCACAGTCTAGCTGAAGCAGACAAACAGTCACATATACAATGGCAAAGCACCAGGGAAGCATTATGGAAGAAGGGATTGGTTCTGCCTGGAGTATGCAGGGCAAGCTTCCCAGAGATGGAGACAATGGAGCTGGGTCTTGGATGAGTAGGAGTTCGCCAGATGGAGGGGAAGGGGGCAAGCACATCCCAAGCAGAGCAAACAGCATATGAGCAAGCAGAGTCTTGAAAGCGCATGCCATGGTGCAGAACGATGAGTGGTCCAGTGCAGCTAGAGCAGAAAAGTGCACACAAACTGAAGAGATGAATTAGTGTTTGGTTTTCGATGAAACTTAGGTGTCAGAAAACAAATCTGCACATTACACTTAATGTAACTAAACTGTGGTTCTGGCAACAGTACAGTAATCTGAACATACTCTTCATTTCATAAATACTGAAGCCCCTTTAATAGGTACCCAGCACTGTGTTTTAAGATGGCAGTTTTAGAAACATAAACCTGAATTCTCCTCTATACATGTAAGAAGCAAAGTAACCTCAGAATAAAGGTTTCCTGAAGCCGAAAATCATAGTGATTTACAAACACACAAGGTCCTAACTTTTGCTAACTTGCGCTCCCTCTACTGCTATTAGTACCTTTCTTAACATCTTCATAACGGTCAACTCAAATCCACCCCATAGTTAAGTGATACACAGGCAATTTAATTTAGCCTTCTCTTCCTGTTCTACCTCTCTAAACAAGGGACCTGCCAATGTCCCTATGAAAACCAATGCAAAGTATTATGGTATAAGGAAACAGTACATTTTGACATCTGTATCAATTATGAGAAATGGCATTACTATAAACTGCACTGTAATTTAAACTGTAAATTTAAGCTGAATTCTGAATGAAGATAGATATGAAGCAGAGACCCATGCCCCTCAGAAAATGTAAAATGGCAAAAGGGAAGAGAGCTTGGGTCAGAAAGTTTCCAACACTGGCCATGAGGCAACACTGCACCGAGGTGGCTTGGTGCTCAGCAAGGGGGCGGCTTAGGAAACAGCAGTATGGAAAGCAAAGGAATTAACATGGGTCAAATTTACTTTGCTAGATGTTTTATATAAATTCCCATTTACGCCTCATAACAATGCTAAGGGGAAAATTTTCTTACCTTAATTTTACAAATGAGAAAGCTAAGGCCCTTGGAGCCTGAGGAAGCTTCTCATGACTGTATCAGCTAATAAATAGCAGAGCCAGTTCACCAAACCATGCCTTCCTGGGTCCAAACTCCTTTTTACTCCACTACACTCCCAATGGGTTCCTAAAATGAACACAGCACTCCCAAGGGACTTATGAGGTTATATTAGTCACATCTTAAGAAGGAGAGCCCCTACTTCTCCCTCCACTATTTTCACACTGTCAATGTGAAGAAAATGGTGGTGGCAATACACATACACACAGATCCCCTAAGTTCAGAGGAAGAAAAACTAAGAAAAAACAATCATATATGTTTAGTTGTCCTCAGGGAAAAAGCAGCTTTCTTTGTAAAGATACTGGGTCCTTTAATACAATTAAATTAGTACAGGCTTAAGTATCTCTTATTTGAAATGCCTAGGACTGGAAGAGTTTCAGATTTCAGATATTTTTCAGATTTCGAATGCTCAATCCGTATCATAATTCAAATGACATTTGCTTAAATTGCTATACAATAAACTATCAACCAAACAGCTCGATAAAACTAAGAGCTAATGGAAAAATATCCAAACATGGTATTAGAATGAGAACATTATTCCTAAAAGTGATTATCCTCAACATCATCAAAGGTCAAAAAAAACACTGCCCTTTCTCAAGACCTGAATCTGAAAATCAATGAACTATGAGGTGAGAATACCTGCCACATTAAAATTTTGCTACTTTTTGGAGAACAGGAACTATGTGAGAGGGAAAAAAAAAAGCAGACAATTAACACCAAAGGAACCTTTTGTAAATAGCCCCACTGAGTCAGAAAGTGTGATGTACACTGACCTAGAGATACTGAAATGCTGTTTTCTACTGTGCACAATTTACTTACGCTCTCTCTTGCCGGGGCAGGGTGGGAGAGGTGTGGGGACACGCAGGGGACATTTGGACAACCAAAATTCCAGAGACTTAATTACGATGTGAGACACTTTTTGAAGAGCTTTTGAAGTAGCATATACATGGGACAGGTAAATTAACCAACCTTATTTTGATTGAGAGGATCATTTCGTAGTCTCTGTTTGTTCTTCTGTAATTTACTAGGCATCATCTTTCCAGTTCTGAAGTCAAAACTGCTGAGATCAACAGTATTTCCCAGGTACCTTGCCAACTGAGGCTTGCTTCTGAACTTCTTACCACTTGGACTAAAAGAAAAATAAGGTTAATTGAACAAAAGGCAACAACATTTACTCTAGGTCTCTACATAAACCTTTTCTTCATGCCTTCCTCTACCCTCAACTGCTACCCCATGCTAATTTCACATTTTTTAAAGAAATGTTAAAGTTTTGACAGCTGCAGTGGCTCATGCCTGTAATCCGAACACTTTGGGAGTCCGAGGTGGGTGGATCACCTGAGCTCAGGAGTTCAGAACCAGCCTAGCCAACATGGTGAAACCCTATCTCTCCTAAAAAAAAAAAATAAATAAATAAATAAATATATATATATATATATCTCAAAAATTAGTCGGGCGTGGTGGTGGGTGCCTGTAATCTCAGCTACTCTAGAGGTTGAAGCAGGAAAATCGCTTGAACCCGGGAGGTGGAGGTTTCAGTGAGCCAAGATCACACCACTGCAGCACTCAAGCCTGAGCAACAAGAGCAAAACTGTCTCAAAAAAAGAAAAAGTTAAAGTTTTAAAGGAACTCCATAACTTCCATGTAAGAAGAGATCACATGTCACCTAATACAACGCTCCCCTATGTATCTGGAACACATAACATGCTGCCACAGTCTATCCCACTGGTCACTCAGCATCTATTAACAGAACCTAAATCCAAACTTCATGCGCAGTGTAACAGGTACACTAAAAATGTCTTCAATCTCACAAACTTCCTTTCCAAATTGATTCTGAAATTCTTTTATTTCCTTGCAAGTATTACATATACAAAAATACCAGCAATAATCAGGAAAAAATTTGAGAACAAATTCTTCTGAAGTCAGTAATCCTTGCTTAAAAAAACACACACACACACACACACACACACACACACACAAATATGAGGAATGCATATAATATTTGAGCTACCAATTCAGGCTCATAACACTCATAATAAAAAAAATTCTTAAATACTGACAACATCTAAATGCTAATACTACTGAAGTGAGAAAACCAGAGCAAAAATTTATGAACGCGCGTGTACAATGCTGGTATGAGTTTTGTCAGCCAAACTCCTCCCTTAGGGAAGCATATGAAGAATAATTTACTTCTTTGTAAGTAACACTGCCAAAGCTGGAAAATTACAAAGTCCCAGAATTATACAGAGGACTAGTCTTTCCTAAAAATTTTTCCTCTGTGGCATTAATCTGTAAGAAATTTTTTATAGGAAGAATGCCCCAAAGTCTTACCTAATAAATTTTCTGAACCAAATAAATGTGCTAGAACGAAGTCAGTGTGATGTGTCACAAGAAAACTGTGAGAATTCTAGAATCGTTCTCAAAGAAATCAACATGTCACATATAGAACTTACCCTTGCACCAAGTGACCACAATAAAAACAAAAACAAAAAAACTCTTAAGAAGACAAAAGGAAAAAGGCTGAGAAACCAAGCAATAAATACTCCCTGGAACAAGAAAACTTCTCTCTGAGTCAAATCCAAACCAAAACACCCCTGACTTGTGTCACAAACTCTTTGGTATTCTGCCCCAACAGACTTCAAGACAACTGAATATCCTATCAACATTCTTTTTCCACAACCACATGACTTAAATATTCCTGAAACACAATTCAAGGTATAGAGTTCAGCGGGCAGATGAAGACAACAACCAGGAACAAGAACAAAGTAGAGAAGAATATAGCAGAAGAAAAAGTGCAGGATCCTACACAAGCAAAGCTCAGCTCCAACTCTAACGTAGATTTCCAGAATACTTGGTATCACAAAATAAAATAGCAAGTCACTCGCAATATTGTACAAAACTTGAATCACCTCTGCCCACCACACAGTTCCACCCCAAAACCTGATCTTCTACGCTCCGCACCTTGTCAGCGGCACTGCGTCCACTTAGTACTTCATCCTCTAAGCTAGAAGGCTACATTATGATCCTTCAGCGCTCCCATGTCTCAGCCACACATCCAGTATCAAGTTCTAAATGTTCAGACTCCTCAATGTTGACAAAAAAGCTTCACCTCCTTAATAAGCCATCAAAAGCTTTACATCTGTTCTCTTTTTCCATACTCTTCTACCACCAGCCTTGGTAGCGTACATTCCAAACTCTACAGCACCAAATATGCCATATAGCTTTGACTCTTCCAGTTACGTCTTTCCAGATGGAAGGATAACCACAGCAACATCCTGCCTGTGAAAAGGCTATTAAATCTCCCAAGCCCGGCTACAATGTCCTCCACCTCCACTAGGAAGCCTTCTGGGATTCTCTAATTCAAGTTAGAAATAATCTACCACCTGCCAAAATTCTATTTCATTACAATAATTTTTATATAATTCCTTGCTGAGTCAAACAACAATGCCACTCTTAAACTTCAAATACCATTACAGGATAGCACTAAACAAGGTAACTTTCTGAGAGCAAAAAACCTTATCAGTTCAATACTAGGAAGTGGCTTTCATTTGCAGATACAATGGGATAAATACTATTGCTTATTTAAAAGTTATATTACATAGAATTTTACAAAACTAAGCTAGAAAACGTTTTCATGATTAAGTTATTTTACTACATAAGAAATAAAGTATTACTAATGACCTAAATTGATATGAAAAATTAGTCAAGATTACTCTGCTATTACGTCACTTACAAAAAGCTGCAATAGCCATATAGTCCTTATTATCAGATACTCAAGTTATTGATAAACAAGATTCTGGTAAACTAGTCAATATACCTCAAAAAATGAAAAACAAAATCTCTCCACAAAATAAAATGACAGTTCTCAGTCAGCTATCCCTCAAATAGATCTCTTTAGTGCAATAAAAAACTGAGCTCAAGAATTGATACCTTATTTCAACAGACTCATTTTCCAGAAGATGAAATATTCAGGCAGTCATTCTTACCAAAAAGATAAGCACTACTGTTCTTAGCATATGGCTTAGAGACAAATAGGAAGCTACTTATGTGGGAATCAATTGACAAACTTCACAAATTAAACCTGCAATAAGTAGTTCCTTATCTAACAGTTGAAATGTCAGTTATCCACTGCAGCTGAAAACATACTAGAGCCTCACTACAGAACAAAACTCTTAGAGATCAATTCATTTTAGATACCTCTCCCCCAAAATCAAGATAATTTAAATACCTAAGAAGTCAATTAAAAGGCTATACTCTCATGGCTAACATGGTGAAACCTTGTTTCTACTAAAAATACAAAAAATTAGCCAGGCATGGTGGCGCAAGCCTGTATCCCAGCTACTGGGAGGTTGAGGCAAGAGAATGGCTTGCATTCTGGAGGTGGAGGTTGCAGTGAGCCAAGCTCACGCCACTGCACTCCAGCATGGAGAAGAGTGAAACTCCATCTCAAAAAAAAAAAAAAAAGACTATACTCATGAAATGTGATTGCTTACATTTATCATCTAGATTAGTAGTTTATTAGTTTAACACAGCTTCATATTATTTATTGATTTTAAAAATGAGATGAAAGGTATTTATTATAAACAAAAGGTCAGACATCCTCTACTAATAAACTAAATTAGCAATGAAGGAAAAAAGGTAGAAGTTTTAACTATTAGCATATCCAAAAGAAAGTTGGAATATTCACTAGCAACCAGTAAATTCTTATTCATAATGAATCACCACTTCCTGTCTTACAGATGGAATTCTATGAAACATCTGTATTGGATAGCTACAAGTATTTGTTCTACATACTGCTGCCTTCAGAAAACAGTAGTAGAAGCCATTTTCTTCTCAGTAACTGTTCAAGTTTGTATATGATGCTTTAAAGAAAGTCAACCTGGCTGTCCCAGAAGATTTTAGGCCAGAGACCCCACTCTTCAGGAGATGAAAGCAAACATGGAGGAGGGCAAGGCCCAAGGGAATGGTTAAGTAGGAATTCTGCCCATGAGATACAGACCAGCTGTTCAGGGGCAAACTGATCCTAGGAGAGGCAAACTGAGAGAATAAATGCTAGATTAATACAAAGACTGTCACCTAAGTTCTAGTTCTTACCCAAACTGATTAAGTTTAATCACCTGTCTACCCTCAATCATGTCTGCTTTAGGTCCCGGTCTCAGAAACACCAAGACTTAAAGTGACTAAGCTTTTATTTTAAAAGCATCAATTCATAACTTAGGAAAGTTCAAAACCTGTTTAAGCTCTAGAAGGCTACAGTGAAGGATATTAGTCATTTCAGTTTTCTCTATCCAAAATGATTACTTCTAATCCCAGTAATAAAATATTATTTCACTTTCAACCACAAAAAAAAATTCCCTATCAACTGCCCCCCAGATACACATTCCTGAACCAACTGTGATCACACCTTTAACTTCTTCTACCCACTATTTAAATAAACTCTGAAAAAAATCCCTGAAGGAACATACTAATTAAATGAAAATCAAAAACATGAATTGTATTTTTCCGGTTCATATAAGAACATTTCATCACTTAAAAATTAAAATAACAACAAAAAACATTTCATCACTTAAACTACGTCTTGACCTCCTTTCATTTCAATTAAACTGTTTAAAGCAATTTTTAAGCCTAATTCCATCTTAGCAATTTTAATGTTTCTATTAGAAGTTTCTATTATCGGCCGGGCAAGGTGGCTCACTCCTGTAATCCCAGCACTTTGGGAGGCCGAGGCATGTGAATCATGAAGTCAGGAGTTCAAGACCAGCCTGACCAACATGGTGAAACCCTGTCTCTACTAAATACACAAAACTTAGCCAGGTGTGGTGGTATGCAACTGTAGTCCCAGCTACTCATGAGGCTGAGGGAGGAGAATCACTTGAACCCGGAAGCCAGAGGGAGGCTGCAGTGAGCCAAGATCGCCCCACTGCACTCCAGCCAGCCAGGCAACAGAGAGAGACTCCATCACCAAAAAAAAAAAAAAAAAAAAAAAAAAAGTTTCTATCATCAAAAAGAAATTTTATGAGGCAGCTGACTTTCAAATCTTAAAAAAAAAAAAAGGTAATTGAAATCAGAAATACTCAAATTACGTTCACTTTAATAGTATTCACATTTTGTGGCACTGTGAACTTACTTGTA